CATGGTCATTTAGAACTGGGACTACTTTGGCGCAGGCTCTCCTGGCTTTCATAGTTTGCATTGAAAAGTCAACTGTAATTCCGATGAATTTCCTTCATATGTAACTAGTTGTTTTTCTCTAGCAGCTTTCAGTACCCTCTCTTTGTTCTGTACATTTAATGTTTTTACTATGATATGCCATGGGGAAGTTTCTGTTCTGGTCATGTTTAATTAGTGTTCTATGTGCATCTTGAATCTGTATAGGTAAGTCTTTCCTTAATTTAGGGAAGTTTTGTTCTATAATCCTGTTGAAGATCTGGTCAATGTGATTGGCCTGTGATTCTTCTCCTTCCTGTATGCCTATGATGCATAGATTTGATCTTTTCACGTTGTCCCATCCCTGTTTTTTTTTTTTTTTAATTTTACATAGTCTTTGCTTAAGGAGTCCAGATCTTCAACTCTGTCATCCAGTCTTAATATTCTGTTTTCCATTTCATCCATTCTGCTTGTGAGGCTTTCCCCTGTTGTTTGCAATTGACTTACTTTTTCAATTCCATGTTCTTTTCAGTTTGGGTTTTCTTCCATATTTCTGTCTCTTTTGTGAATTCAATATTCATGTCCTGAATTGTTTTTGATATTTCATTAAGCCACCTATTTGTATTTTCTTGAGTTTCCATCACAAGTTTGTGCCTTTACTCTGAGTTCTTTGAGTTCTTTGTGCTTTCTTTAAATTTGTTGAACATATTTATGATTCTTCTTTTAAATTCTGTGTCCTAGGTTCCTCAGGGTGGTTCTCATTGTAGTGTACTTCTGTAGGACTAGCGTGTTTTGTTGGGGACATATTCTTTTGGCTTTTCATATTAATTGTGGTATGGTGCTGCAGTTTGGACATATGGATGTTCTCTGTTGGTTATGTGTCCAGTAGGAACTTCTATTCTGCCTTATTTTTTTAAATCAAATTTTGGTTCTATATGTTTATGCAGTTTGGTTTTTTCCCCTCAAGTACAAAAACTAAATTGGTGTTTCAGGTTCTTGCAGGGTAGCAGGCTGCTCTGGGTAGTTGGTGGGACACTGTAGAAGATAGGCTGGTCAGGGTAGTAGGAGGGCTGTTCTGTATGAGGCGTGCCAGGAGCCAGGGGAATATGAGGGTGGGGACCACCTGAGGAGGGACTTAGCAATCTGTGCTATGGGGTTTCACTAGTTTCCATTAGGAAGCTAGTCCAGAGAGCTGAGGCAGAGGAACTGGAGTGGGCCTGGGACCAAGGCTATCAGGGGACAACTTTTTTTCTTTTTTACCATGTGATCTCCTGTATCACTTACTTGGAAATTCCACCTGGTCTCCCACAATTTAATATCTAGCAGTTTGGCACTCTGAACATTAATTTGTCAAGATTTAGATATTGCTGATGATATGGTTAGGATACAGGTTACTGTGTATGACCTGTAAATATCCAAACATTGCCCAGAGCAAAGAAGTAAGTTCTCCTTCCAACACCATGTACACATCTCTCACTTTAGAACATCACATGAACTTAGGTGGTTTTATTTTTCCAACCTGGCAAATAGTAGCAGAGTTTTCTACTTGTGTCCCTACAACACAAGAACTTTATGGATAAACCAATAAATTTATTCTATTTTGTTGGAAAGAGAATCTTGAGGTTCACATTTAGGTTCTGCTGGTATTGAGCAGCAGAAGTGGGCTGATAATGCATCCCCAAGTAGAGATGCTACATGCTTGGGTTATGTTTGTCACAGCTCCTCAGAGGCACCACTCATAACATGAATTCTTCTGAGACTTTAGTGGTACGGCTTCCTATTTATAGCAACATACTCTTGATATTACCAATGACATAAGTAGTTCACATCTTAATATAATTTTCCACTCTTTAAGCTGTAGGAACTAGTCTCATGAGAGCTCAATAGCGTGTTGCTAACATTTTCTCCAATTTGAATGTTTTACATACAAAAATCCCAATGGTTGCCATAAGGGGACAGAATTATGCTTCAGTCAAAACCTAATTGCATGGATTCTAGTGTTAGAAACTTCCAAAATCATTTGAATATGCTGGAATCCTTGGGCCCAGGTAACATGCCCAGATCATTGATCAGGGTCTGTTTCCATAGTTTGACAAATTATGATGTGCTCTGCCTCCTCTGAACTGGCAGAACCCTGAAGTGACTATATTATTTATTGTTTGTAGAATACTTCTAGCTCTGAGTTGTAGCAGGATTGTTTCACCATTTGGCTAATCATATTTGCCACTACAACTCTCTAATCTTTCAAGGGGCTAATCATCGTGTTATCATTAACATGATCGATACATGATTTATAGTGATCACACAAAACTGTAGTAGCAAGAGGAAGAGGTTAGATAACTTTGGGGAAAGACCACAAACACACATTACTTTTGTATAAGCAAATCATGGTAGGCTTTTGCCTACTTCATCACACTGATGTAGCCACTCAGCTTGCTGGACTTCCCGTGTAGCTTGCACAATGCCTGACACAACAGACACTTGTTTAAATCATAGAAAATATGCTTTTTATGTCATGATGACAACACATCTTCGCGTTATCTCTAAGAACTTCTCTCTCTTTTCTCTCTGCAACTCAGGATTAATAAAAAAATGCTAGCAGAGGTTAGCATTTCTGCTTCCACTGTTTCTTAAAGAAAAACGAGATTTCCTTCTAGGAAGTCTTCCAGAATTTTACACTGTCTGATAGTCACTATAATGGAGCAGCAGAGCAAGTTTCAGGTCTTCCAGTTTTGCCTTTCATTGAAACTATGTAATGGGCAAGCTTATCTGTCTCATAGACATTTGGCTTTAAGCTGATGATGACAAGTAATTTAATCATATGCATTCAATTTTTTATTCAGGTAAAAGCAGAGCTGTTTTTTCTTATTTCTTCATCAGCAGTTTCATCATGATTCCACTGCTATGCACTATACATTTTTCATGTGTTCCAAACTTCAGTTTTCATAACTTAATATTGCCTTTATATTTGCTTGCTGGAATTCAAGTGCATTTTGCATACTTGGGGGCTGCAGAGACAGAATCACTACAGGAGCCCACAGAAGAGAAGGAAGACTACCTTCAAAACTCCAGCGAGTGACTGACAGATGAAAGGCTCCTTGTGTCTGCGGCTTCTGCCTGGGTGAAGAGCTCACCTAAATCAACCTCCACAACTTGACCTCCAACAGCATGTGGAGGGTCTCATTCCTACTTTAACCTCCGAGACTGCACTTGGGCTGCAGAAAGGAGTTTGTCCCTATGGTTGCTTCTAGCCTCCAGGATCCATCGCTTCAGAAACCCAGGACTCCAGATGCCCAGACCTGAGACTTCAGAGACCTGAGGCTCCAGGCTTCCAGACCACACTGGTCCAGGTATCTGCAAGGGCTGTATACTTCCTGGAACTGTGACAGTTCTCAGCTAACATCCTACTCAACTTGAATAGTTAAATCTGGTGTGGCATTCTGTCTATCTCTTTTAAGTTTGCTAATCCCAAATCAACAATACAGTATGTCTCATTTGTACTCCTTTCTCTCTGCCCACTCCATTCTTGGAGGATGGTGGGACAAGAACCCATGTCAGGGATGATGGCTTAACGTGTCCTTCACATGTCTGTTCTACAAGTAGAATCTACCTGTAAATTGCTGGTTGAGATGGTGAAAAGTGAGTAATTGGAGCTAAGAAGGAGACAGGTGGGTTAACGTTAATGGTTAATGGTTAGTGGTTAATGTTCACTTGCACAGAACATTCCTGGGAGCATAAATGCAGAACTAATAATGTTTGTTTCTGAGCACTGGGAATAAGGAGCTAGAAATCTTGGTTGGGTGGGTAGGTAAGTTGTTTTTGTTTTTTGAGACAGGGTTTCAAGTAGCCTGGCTGACCTGGAACTCCTTGATCTTCCTTCCCCAGTGTGCTGAGATTACAAGCACACGGTCTAGCACAGCTCAAGATTTATTTTATTTTGAATGTAAACTGTCTTTTGTAGTCAATAGCCTTCTCTTCACTTGGTTCTTCTCCAGTCCCATTGGCGTTCTTACTGTACCTCCAACATTTGAATATATTCTTAATCCAAGACAATTGCCCTGTTTACTTACCTCTGGAGCACTCTTCCTCCGGAAGCTCTCTCACTGCTCTCTCCCTTCATTCAGTGAGGGTCATTCTTGCTTTGCTGACTCCACTGGACATTATGACCCCCTCCCACTCTCTAATCCCCTCACCTAATAGTCTCTGATGGCTTTACTGACATACTAAACATTTGCCTGCTGGTTTAGTGTATGACTTCTTTTTGGAGCACTGCCTGACACATAATAGTCGATCGACTACTTTTTCTTTTTGAGACAGGATTTCACTATATAGCCCTGGTTGGCCTGAAACTCACTACGTAGATCAAGCTGGCCTCGAACTCACAGAGATCGGTCTATCTGTGCGTCCACAGTGTGAGTGCTGGGATTAAAGGCCTACGCCACCACACCCGGCCACACCTATACTTCCTGAGTTTTTTTAAAAAAGTACATAAATTATTCCTTCAGTAAAAATAAGAAATGTTTGATGAATCACCCATTCGATGTTCGTTATCAGATTGAATTTCTCATTGTACGCAGTGACCAAGGGCATGCCAACTGACCCAAAGTGCCTTCCCGTCATTGATAAAGCTCCTACGACCCGTTTCCTTTGCGCCCCATAAGGTGTGGAAATTAATGATTCCACGGACTGAAGATTAAATGTAGGTGAAAATGTCGTTGTATCATCAGCGTTGGAAGAGCACAGGTTAAGTTTCAACTCGGTCTGATGTTCATAGAGAGCAGTTTCCAGGCGATGCCTGGAGAAACCACGCTGGCGCCTGGTAAGGCAGCTGGCCACCGTTTCCCCGGAAACCGTGCGGGCGTCCAGAGAAGGCAGCTAACTGCTCCCTCCCTTCGCCCCTCCCTTCGCGCTAGCGATTGGAGGAGCGAGGGCCAATCAGAAGAGGCCTGAGGGGCGGGGCGCGGAGTCCGGGGAAGGCGGTCCCACGGCCTCCGGCCCCGACTTCCGGGTCGCAGTGTTTGCAGGGAGGGCTCCGCCGTGAGCGTCGTTTCCGTTGCCGGTGTTTGCAGCTGGGGAAACCGAGGCAGCTCCAGCTTCCCCCTAGTTCTTCCGCTCCTGTGAGGTGGCTGCTCTTCTCTTTTTCTCTCACACTGCGCTGTTGGCGTGCGGCCGCGCGAGCCCCAGGGCGGTCCAATGGATAATCCGCAGAATGACCGGGCCGTTGGGGCTTTGTGCCGCGGTACCGCGCGCGAGCTGGGCGGGACGGCGCACGCGGGGCTCGCGCACGGCTCCCGAGGCCGGGTGCCCCCGCGGTGGCGGCACGGCCTGTCCGCGCTCCTGCAGCCTTTGTCCCGAGGAGCGCGGAGCGAAGAATTGTTTAAACACCGGGATCCGCGCCTCTGGGACCGGCGCCCGTGCCGCCCTGCGCAGATTTCGAACTTGACAGCTCCTCGGGCCGGGGCGGAGAGGGTGTGTCTGAAGGCTTAGGTTAGGGCTGGAAGGCGGGCGGAGCCTTTTCTTTGCAGTCTCGCACTTGCAGCACCTGAGGAGTTTTCTTCTTAGATCAGTTGTAGCAAGTGTGTAGGTTTTGTTGTTTTGAACCTCTTGGCATTTCTGCTCTACGCACGTTGAATGGGAAAATCATGACTTCCCCAGGACGCCCTTCGCTCCGTTTCCAACGCGTTGGCTTCAGTTGTAAGCCACTTGTGTTCACATTTGTTGGGGTCAGCTGACCGGGACAGCTGGAACACTTTATCCACCAGGGCTAAGAGGAGCTTATTCTGAAAACCACTTCTGATGTGTGGTTTAATTGTTCAGTCCCCCAACTTATTCTTGAAACTGTTTACTTACAGTTCTCAGAGTGAAAAATGAAACCAGCATGAATTCTAATTGTTTTTCAGAATGTAACTCTAGTCTTTTAAACCATGAAATAGCTTGGCTAAATTCTTTTTTAGTTTTTACAATAAAAACGTGATATGTTAACCATTTGGCCCACCATTGTGTAATCTCTGCTGTATATATATTACACTTGTCACCTTTCCTTACCTGGTTAAATACAAAACAAGCATAACGGAATAATAGACTTTAATGTGATTTTGAATTTGGTGAGTCAGGTAAACCTAATTTTCAGTTTAAAAATTCCAGTTTAAGGCCATTAAACTTGACTTCTGTATTTCCTTTTCCAGGAAAACATGTTTAATTCTTTGTGGGAGTTCTTCTATGGGCACTTCTTTCGCTTTTGGATGAAATGGGTCTTACGGCAGATGACTGGAAAGTGTGAATTGCAGCGAATTTTTGATACCTATGGGGGCGCCCAAAGGACACACAGGATAGGTAATGCTAATTAGAATAGAAAAATCCAAGATTAATAAAAGTTTAACTCAATTCTATTTCCCTGCTCAGCAGTAATATGTACTCTGATAAACTTGCTTAAACTCAGTTTCATACACTCTGTTGTCTGTCTGAATCTTTTCTGCACTAATACTATTAAATTGAATAGTGAATAATTTTTATATGAGAGACTTATATTGTTCTGTATATACCCAAATATTGTCTGGTTCCTTAAAAATATGTCCATTGCTAGTAATAATCACATACATAGAGATTAGAAATGCATGTGCATCTTAATGTCAATTATATTAAAAATCAATTTTTCTGTAAAAAAAAATATGTCCATTGTTCTTTAGGTTACACTTGCACCTGTTTTCTAGAGGAAACCACGTATTCTGTCAGATGTTTGAAATGATGGAAAGATTGCCACAGCCTGTATGTTTTCCTATCCTCAGCCTCATTCATCAACATTTTCACATCTTACTCTTATTTATGAAAGGGAAGATGTTAGCTGCTCATAGGTCTCTAGGAAAGGTTTTTTTACACTCTGAATCTGCCTTGTCCTATATCTAGTTGGTAGCCATGTAGTTATTGAGTATTTGAAGTCTGGCTAGGGTGAACTGACTTGTGCTGTAGCTAAAATACACATTGGATTTTAGTTCAAAGCCTTTATATGGAAAAAGAATGTGAAGTTATTTTATTAATAACTGTATTTTGTGTATGTTGAAGTGCTAATATTTTGGATCTGCTTCAGCATTCAAATGAATTTCATCAGTTTGTTTATACTTTAATGTAGCTATCGGCATGTTTCTGGTACACATGTGACTCGTAGTTTGGCTTCCATTATAATCTATCAGTTTTCCAATGTTTCATTGAAAATATTATTTTCACTTCAAGCAGATGATGGAGAAATGTAGTTTGGAGTCATTTGGACATTGTAAGAAGACCTGGCAGGGCTGTAGCTCATAATGCCATGTTAGTGGGACAGCCTGAATTAGCCAGCTCCTGTTTTGTGTTGATCAAGGATACCTTAAATAAGAAACCAACCCTTTTAGGGTTGAGTCAGAGTAGGGTATTGGCAGTGGGACCCGTATCCATGACAATACTGGAAAAATGGCAGAAATGTCTAGGGTCGCTGACTGAGTGGAGCTTAATGACTTTCTTAGTTTTCTTGTAACTTCTTGACTTAGATTGTTGCCTTCTCTGTTGATTGGCCCTCTTGACTGCTCAGAAGATGGAGTGCTTCTTGAAAGGAAATTTCTGCAGACTTTACTAGTTGGTGTTTTATAGTGTGGGGGAAGAACATAGTCAAGGCTTTACTTTGAGGCAAAAGCATTTTTCTTAGAATTTTCTAGTTGCTGAGGAAAAGAAGAGCATTTGTCACTGTATCATAGAAAACATTTAATATACCAATAAAAATGTTCTGGTAATTCTGGACCAGAAACCAAGAATGAAGAGGCTGTTTACTTTGTCTAGCAAAAGGAGACTTAGAGAATGTCGAGTCTTTGCTCTTTTGGGCGTGTGCTGTTCAGTTGCTAGCGCCTTACTCAGGCTGAGGGATGAAGAGCATGCAGCAGAGTACGCAGTCTTCAGAGCTTCCTAGACACTCACACTTTGGGGGTCTGCATAAACATAGAGCATCCTGGGGGAAATTAGGGTAACATCACCTGTTTAGCTTCGTATAGTTTGAAGCTTCTCTGTACTGTGAAACTTTAAAATGTTGCTCTGTTTGTGTATCTTCTCAAACTGGGAAAGTAATTTGTCATAGATTTATATTTTTACTATTTGTTTTGGACTAATTCATAAAATGCATTTAAGTGTAACATTTCCTTGTTTTGTTTAATTTCAGAAAATTCCTTGACATACTCCAAAAATAAGGTAAGGTCATATTAAGTTGATAATTCTAGAAAACCTGAGTGTGTTTTTTTCTTTAAAGAGAATTGCTTCAATGTCGGGATAATTTTTACTGTCCTTCTGTCTGCTATGAAGAACTCCTGAGTAAAATTTTCCCTCTTTAGAAATAATACTGTATTCAAAGCACTTTCTCTGTGTGGCTTTATTTAAAAATGTGCTTACTAATAGATGCACAAAAAAGTACTTGAATTGCATGTCCTGTTCTGAGGCTTTACTTGTTTATTTTGCTTTAGGAGTTCATAGCTTTGGGGGAATAAGATCTTAGCAGGGAGCCTTCCCGGGACTGTGTCCTCAGGTAGGTTGAGAGGAGAGCAAGGCAGCTTTGGATGGTGAAAATCTTGCATATTTACCTTTTGATCCAAAGTAAGTCCTAATGTGTGCTCTGGAAGAGTCAGCTTTTACTGTAATGAACAGTTCAGACTCTGAAGAGCTGAAAGCGCTTCTTACTCATGGGTCTGTTGGTCAATTAGAAAGGCCCTTTGTCAAATTGGTGCCAAGTTCAGTTCTATTCTGTATGTCTTACTGTCAGCCCAGGTGTGGGATCTCCAGTGGCATTCCAAGAATTTATTCAAGTGAAAAAATGCAAGTCGGGGTAGTAGAATACATTATAAAGCCCATCCTATGGCAGGCAACAGAGGAGCAGGACCCATGTGTCAGTCTACCTCCCACACTTCTTTGCTGCAATTCTTAGTATTTTCTGTAGAAAAATTACTTGGTGTTGCAAAGACAGGATCATGAGTCATCTAGACCATTATTTGAAACCACAAGTATATCACAACCAGCATTAATTACTAACAATAGAATAGAAAATGCTCATGAATCATTATTTACAGTAAGATTAAATATTATTTTGTGATATTTTGGTTTTAGTTACCTGTTTGTGCATCTCTGTGCTTTAGATGTTCATAGGTATGTTTGCACTTGATTATAATGTAAGGTGTCAGTCACATTAAAGAAATGTGGACTTGGTGCTGTCTGCCAGCACTGAGACAGTTGCTGATTCATGATGGAAACAGAATTATCTGTGAGAATAATTCATATACACATAAGTGAATATTGAGGAGAGCGGTCTAGAGCCCTCTTTTGTTCAGAATCTTAAACTGTGATTTATTTATTTTTTAATGAGAATGTGGTATACAGAAAGTAAGTTTCTGGGCCCCAAATTTACTTAGCTCTTATCTATATATATAGTTCCTTTCATTGAAACATAGCAGGCATTTCCCCAGAATAAGTGTCAGTTGGAGCAGATATTCCCGGGCACATTATATTTCAGATCTGTTACAATTATAGTTCTCAAATTGAGCATGCTCTAACATCTTCTGGAGGCTTGTGGAAACATAAATCACTGGATCCCACTCCCAGAATCTCCGATTGCATTTCCAACCCATGGGTTCCTCAATGATTCTAATGTCCTACAGGTCCAGGTAATGCTTTGAGGACATTGTATTTATGCTTTTGAGGGACTGCTCTGCAACGTAACTGCTCCAGCTCTGTTTCTGTAGGAAACAATGTGCGTATTCCAGACGGAGCTGAAACAAATTGTGTTTCATAGTGTCATAAATTTTGAAATATTTGAAAATGAATTGTTTCCTGTAGCCTTTAAATCACACTGTAGAACTGTAACTGGGCTCTTTATACTACACCCCCCCCCCCAC